CTGGCTAGGTAACATCTTCAGTGCTGGAATGGGATGGGGTTTGCTCTCTATTTATGTGCTGTGGCCTGCCTTGCTTACAGGTCTGAGGTTCAAGTTGCAGATATCCCTGTGTGAGCTTAACCACCATGTTTGGCATATCCTTTGTTGCCCCATGGAGACCTGAGAATCAAAGAATGGAAGGAACCTTAGAGATCATCTAATCCAGCCCATCGCCAGTATAGGAATCTACCACTGCAGCATCCCAATGGATGAGCATCTGGTCTATTTAAACATTTCCTGTAGAGGAGAATCCACCGCTTCCCAAAGCTGCCTGTTCTATTTATGAACGGCTCTTACATCTAAGAAATTCTCCCTTATATAGAATCATAGAACGTTGGAAAGGACCCTGGAGACCATCTAATCCAGCCCCCTGCCCAGCACAGGGATACACTACTACAGCATCCCCCATAAATGTCCAACCAACTTCCATGTGTGAACACATCCAGCAAAGGAGAATCCTTCATTTCCCCGGGTGATATTTCCATTGTTGAACAGCTCTTACCATTTGTCTATCCAAAATCTTGGAGGAAAATATGGGAGACTTCAGTGGGCAAGAAGAAAGGCAACAGAGGGAGGAGAAGAGTGGCTCCCGGGGCAGCAAGTGTCACACAAGCATAGATTCCTGCTCACTCAAGAATGGGTGGAGACCACATGCACTCTGCAGTGGAGAAAGGTCCATGGTAGGGAAGAAGACTTCTGAACAAGTATTGAGATCTTCCTGCATAATTAGAGAAGGGCCACTAAGCTATGCTACATGGTTTATCTCATCCCCAGCCCATGAGTGAGATGGGCCTAAGTCATCCTGGTGTGAAAGCACCTTTTCCACTTCTGGCACCACTGAAGGGCAGCCTTAAGGCACATACACAATATGTTAGGTTTTGGCCCACATCACCCTGGAGGGAAATCAGAAGATTGCAATGGCTTGGAACAGACACAATAGCAGCAGAACGGAGATTGGCAATGGGGGTAGCCAATTTCATGCCAGCCTTGTTTTCTGCCAACTGAAAGATAGGTGAAGAGCAATTCAATTCAACAGTGAGGAAAGGCCCAACAAGTCACTACGAGGTTCCTCCTTTGGTGCACGGAGCTGATGAAGGAGGCTACCGTGGCATCAGGCATGACCCAAAGTGCTCACCGAAATGATGAAACCCAAACTGTTGTTCCCACGGTGATCCCCACACCAAAATTCCTGTGCTACTCACATTGCTATTTGTATTGTACACTATTTACAGCTCCAGCTACTGCTTTTCCAAAAGGCTATTGTGGAGTTGAGGAAGCTGTAAAAAAGGTCAACTGCATAACGAAGGGGCTGGAGTAGCCTGAGAAGAAACATAAAAATTGGGTATTTTTAAGTTTAGAAAAAGGTTGTGAGGGAAAACATCATAGAGATGCCTCCAGTCAATGAATGGGTTAAGCCTGTGTGGTGGTCCAGATTTGAAGGGGAAAAGGTGATTGAGACCAGCCATGCGTGGGTCAGTTGCACCTGTCAGCTCCTCCTTAAATCACAAAAAAGAGCTTCTTTAAGGTGTTGCCAGCAGGAATGCACCCCCAGACGCTCCAATCACCTTTTCCCCATCAAACCTACTAGGGAATAGAAGAGGTTCAGCAAGTGGGAGCATCTGGCGGACCTTGTCTGGGCTCTGAAACCAGGTGGGGCTGGCTAAGGACCCACAGCCCATCACAGGCCTAAAGTGGCAAAAACAGCCCAGGTAGCAGTGGAAACCATTTCTGTATTGCGGTCAAGAAAACTGCATGGATGTGTCCATGAAATCCTGGGAGTTAAAGTTTCCAAAGTTGAGAAACACTGTTTTAGAGGTGTAATCAGTAAGTATAAATAGATCCAGAGATGTCCTATTGATTGATAAGACCTAGATCAGAAGAAACCATCACCCTAAGCTTCTCTCGTGCTCCTTCTCCCAAGAAGAAGTGAGTATGCAAAAGAAAATGAATGATTGAAATTCCTGTGTTCCGTTTCCAGTGGGTTTGTAAGGTGCCACAACATGAGGAACCATTTGCAGCTCAGCTTTTACAGCAAAGCTGATCTACCTTTCAAGTTAAGGATTGGGCCTTCCCTGTAGTCTGCTAGTCCTGAGCTCATTGGGACTTTGATCTCCCACCTGTCCTTCAAAATACAGAATTGCACAGGTGCCGGAAGTATTTTCCGGAGACTCTCTTGACACCCCACTGCTCCTCCCCCAAACAAACAAAAGTCAGTTCAAAATGTGAGGCTGAAGGAGCCAGAATGTTTGTCTTGGGGGAGGTGGGGACGTGTGTACAGGGAGTCCCCAGTTTAAGAATGAGTTCTGTTCCAAAGGTCTGTCCTTAAGTCGAATCTGTACGTAAGCTGGAACAGTATTATTGTATAATACTGTATAAGTAGTATTGTGTGATGAACTTGAACCATTGTGTATTTAACTCGGATTTTGCTACAGTAGGCTCCGTTCTTAACTATGAGTCGTCCATAAACTGGGCATTCTTAACCCAGGGACTACCTGGTATTTCATCTTGAGGTGTTCGAACATAGAACCCTAGATGTGTATGTTACTTTAACTAGAGCAGTGTTTCTTAAACTTTTTCTCTCAGGACCCCTTCCCCCTTTTAAAAATTATGAAGGACCGCAAAAGAGTTTTTGTTTGTATGGGTTATGTTTATTGATATTTACTGTATTAAGAATTAAAATGGACACATTTGCTGCTGCTACTGCTTCTCACGATCGTTTGATGGGATTTTAATACCGTATTATTTTTCAACCTAAGCTGGTGAATCATTTTGATTTTGCAGATCCCTGAAAGAGTCTTGGGGGATCCTAAAGGTCCTTCGACCATACTTTGAGAAACACTGAACTGGGGAATATTTATTATGATATTTAGAGGCCGCTGAATGTGTGGTTGGGAGAAGCCATTGAATGCGATATCCTTCTGTGATTTTTTTTAGCAGGAATGATCGCATTCTACATTTCACTCAGCAAATCTTGGGATGAGGATAAATTTAGTGTCTGCTGAATCCTTTGCTCAGGGAGCCTGCTGTTCCTTTATGTAGCAGTGCAGTGCCACAGTGCAGTGTAATAAAGAACAGTGTTTCTCAACCTCAGCAACTTGAAGATGTGTGGACTTCAACTCCCAGAATTCCCCAGCCAGCAGGAAGCCCAGAAAGAAGTTAAATATTATATCATACCCTCTTTTCTGCTAGAGATGTCATTTCTTTTCAAATATGATTTAGGCACAGAGCTAATAACCCTCTTTATGTGTGAGTATACAAGTGCAAATCCACACAAATTGTGCTTCCATCAGAGTCAATCCATTTTTATTGTAGGGGTACTGTTGAAACTGATTTGATTGTATTTTGCTTGCTTGAAAATAGCTTCTGATCGTCCTTCAGCTAGGAAGGAAGACTGAAAAAGCAGAGGTCCCTAAATTCAGGGGAAAAAAACCTTTGGATGGCAAATATTAGCTGCTTTATAACTCTTTTCAAAGTATGTAAGGTTTCTTACGTTTGGGATATTCTTAAAACAGTGGCTCAGTGTGATCTTTGAAAATTCTAGATCCAAGAGCAAAGAGGCTGCCGAGAAAGCAATGAGAGAGAAAAAAGGTGCAGATCCACCATGGAAAGGAGGACCAGAAAATCCCACCAGTCCAGGTCAGCCTCAGTATATTACAGGACCAAAATTAGAGGAAACAAATCTAGGAAAACTCTCCTGCGGGATTCAGCTTCAATCTGTTTCTGAGCAACCCGGATGGGGAGCGTCACAAAAAAGTAAAGAGGAGCCATTTGTTGGGATGGAGGAGCGCTGGGAAGCCCAGTGGCAGCAGTTCCTCAAGACATTGCAACCTGTCCACAAAGGAGGGGCCAACTCAAGTTTCTCAGAGGCTTCTCCCTGGGAAGACACCAAGGCCTTTCTGGCCTCCTTTGAGCAGGTGGCCAAAGCCTGCCAGTGGCCCAGAGAGCAGTGGGTGGCCCATCTTCTGCCAGCTCTGAGTGGAGAAGCAGAAGGGGCCTTCCGGAGTCTGGAAGCCAGAGATCGGGAGGACTATGGGAAGGTGAAGGCCGCCATCTTGCGAGGGGAAGCCCTGAAAATGGAGATGCAGCGCCAACATTTTAGGCAGTTCTGCTGCCAGGAGCTGGGAGACCCTCGAAAGATCCACAGCCAACTCCAGGAGCTTTGTCTCCAGTGGCTGAAGCCCGAGAGACACACCAAGGAGCAGATCCTGGAGCTGCTGATCCTGGAGCAGTTCCTGGCCAGCCTCCCACCGGAGCTCCAGAGCTGGATCCGAGCAGGAGGGCCTGACACGTGTTCCCAGGCGGTGGCCCTGGCGGAGGACTTCCTAAGGAGCCAGCAGGATGTCAAATCAGAGTCATATGAGGTATGGTTTGAAGAATACAATCCCAGCATTTTATATTTCTGAATGTGGATTACGTTGCTAGAAGCACCCGCAATTATTCACTTGAAAATTGGTTGCATTACTAATATAACAGGGCGAAGCATTTTGGATTAGCTGAATCTCATTCTGTGTAAAACATCGCGGATCAGAGTATAATAAGGTCCAGATCTGTGGTGCAGAACAAGAACAACAGACATTGGAAGGGACTCATTTCACCGTTTTAAGGCCAGGATGGCCATCTCATCGATCCCAAGGGCTTCAGATGGTGGTGCAAGTACTGGGAGTCTCCCAGACTATATCATAGTTGTACATGTATACATAAGAGAGGCAGTTTGGGGTAGTGGTTAAAGGCACCAGGCAGGAAACTGGGAGGCCGTGAGTCCTCGTCCTGCCTTAGGCACAAGGCCAGCTGGGTGACCTTGGGCCAGTCGCTCTCTCTCAGCCCCGGGAAGCAGGCAAGGGCAAACCACTCCTGAAAAACCTTGCCGAGAAAACTGCAGGGACTTGTCCAGGCAATCGCCAGGAGTCAAGACTGACTCGAAGGCACTCCCCCCCACAAAAAATGTATACATACTCATAATTCGGGGAAAATGCACAGGTTAGAAAAAGAAGAAGTAATAAATAAAAGCAATTTTAAAAGCGTGACGTAAGAAAAGGAAATATGGCTCAATTTAGACATTATTCACTATATCCCTTCATCCCTTTTTGTCTTTGTAAACTATCCTTGTTCCCACCCCATCTCTACATCAGTTCACATGTTGCCCTTTGATCACTTTTCTTTTTAAGGATCTCATCAACTCCATCCAGCCACGTCCTTCTTGTACTTCCCTTTCCTCTCAACCCATCCACTTTGGTATTTGCTTTGCATTAAACCATTTTAATGTACTGCTTTCATACTGGTGGCTGCTATTGTTTTTGTGGTGGTGGTTGTCGTAATTGTTACTGAGTCTACATTGCTTCTGCGCCCATTTGTTCTTAGCTCTCTGTCTCCTTGTTTTACCACACTTAGCTCTTAAGAAACCCATTCCCCCTAGATTTGCAGGGAGTGAATTTGTGTCCTTTGCCTTGTGAAATCATCCTTTTTCTGAAAGCAGTGTTGTCCAAACTTGGCCACTTTAAGATGAGTGGACTTCAACTCCCCATGCTGGCTGGGGAATTCTGGGAGTTG